TTAAAAATATATAAAGAACTCCCACCGCCTGGTGGCTCAGTCAGTTAAGTGTCCTACTCTCGGTTTCAGCTCAGGTCATGATCCTAGAGTCGTGGAATTGAGCCCAGAGTTAGACTCTGCACTAAGCGTGGTGCCTGCTTAAGATTCTCTCTCTCTCTTTCTCTCTCTCTCTCTCCCTCTCCCCCACTTTCACTCTCTCTCTCTCTTTGAAATAAAATATAAATATTCAAAGAACGTATACAACTCAACACCACAAAAACAAATAATCCAATTTATTTTTTTCAAATAATCTAATTTAAAAGATAGAAGACATGAACAGACATTTCTCCAAAGACGACATACAGATAGCCACAGACACATGAAAAGATGCTCAACATCACTAATCATCAGAGAAATTCAAAATCACGATGAGATATCACCTCACACCTGTCAGAATGGCTACAGTCAAAAATACAAAGAACAACAAGAAAATACAAGAAATACAAGAAACAAGAAGTGTTGGCAAGGATGTGGAAGAAAAGGAACTCATGCACCATTAGTGGGAATGCAAACTAGTGCAGCCACTGTGGAAAACATTATGGAGGTTCCTCAAAAAATTAAACATAGAACTACCATATGATCCAGTAATTCCACTACTGGGTGTTTACTCAAAGAATACAAAAACACTAATTTGAGAAGATATACACACCCTTATGTTTATTGCAACATTGTTTACAATAGCCAAATTATGGAAGCAGCCCAGGTGTCCACCGATAGACGAATGGATAAAGATGTGATACACACAGAAGCACACACATGCACACTTACATATGTGTGTGTATATATATATATATATGTATATATATATATATATATATATATATATATAAGTATATACAGTGGACTATTATTTATCCATAAAAAAGAATGAAATCTTGCCAGTTGCAACAACATGGGTGGATCCAGAGAGTATAATGTTAAGTGAAATAAGTCAGAGAAGAGACAAATACCATATGATTTCACTCATTTGTGGAATTTAAGAAAAAAATGAACAGAGAAAAATGGAGACAAACCAAAAAACAGACTCTTAACTACGGAGAACAAACTGGCAGTTACCACAGGGAGGTTGGTAGGGGAATGGGTGAAATAGGTGAAGGGGATTAAGTGTTCACTTATCTTGATGAGCCCTAAGTAATATATAGAATTGTTGAATTACTATATTGCATACCTGAAACTAATATAACACTGTATGTTAGGTATACTAGAATTTTTATTTATTTTTCATTTTTTTAATATTTATTTTTGAAGAGAGAGAGAGAGAGAGAGAGAGACCGAGCGTGAGTGGGGGAGGGGCAGAGAGGGAGACACAGAATCTGAAGCAGGCTCCTGACTTTGAGATGTCAGCACAGAGCCCGATGGGGGCTTGAACTCACAAACTGCGAGATCATGACCTGAGCCAAAGTCAGGTGCTTAACTGACTGAGCCACCCAGGAGCCCCTGGAATTTTTTAAGAATACCGTAGTTGTTGCTTTTTTTGTTTTGTTTTGTTTTGATTGATTAGTTGTTTTGTTCTGCATTTTGTGGCAGCTGCTGTTGCATTTAATGTCTTGATATTTTTGGGTGTCAATCTATGGATTATGTCTCATGTGAAGTACTGGATAAAATTTGGGGGCAATGGAAGTCTAGATTTATTCACAATCAATTAAACTACTCATTCAGCAGATAGTCTATTGAGAACCAACTACATTAAAAACAACATTTAGCTTATCTTAAAGAAATGTATATTATAAATATATATAAGTAATTCAATGATATAAAATGTTACAATAACAACAGTTGTGATTAATACTAAAATGTTCTATCTATGTAGTGGGTGGAATAGTGTGCCCCCACGCCCAAATTCATGTCCATCTGGAACCTCAGAATGTGAACTTATTTGTAAATAAGATCTTTACTGATGAACTCCCTCTTCAATTTTGAGAATTTGCTAGTATGGCTCACAGAACTCTGGAAACAGTTTATTTACTATTACTGGTTTCTTATAAAGGGTACAACTCAATAATAGCCAAATGGAAGAGGCACAGGGTTGGGTATGGGGGTGGGGGAGAGAACATGGTGTTTCCATGCTCTCTCCAGCACCCTGTACCCCAGCATCTTGATGTGTGCACCAACCCAAAAAACTCTCCAAACCCATCATTTAGGGATATTTATGGAACATCCATTACACAGGCATGATTGATTAAATCCCTGGCCACTGGTAATTGACCTCTCCCCACTTCAGAGTCTGGGGATGGGGTTGAAAGATCCAGCTCTCTAATCACAAGGTTGGTTCCTCTAGCAAACATCTCCCATCAGGTGTGGTTGAAAGGGGCTTGTTATGAATAACAAAAGATGCTCCTTTCACCCCTATTAGGAAATTTCAATGGTGTTAGAAGCTCTGTGTCAGGAACCAGGGACAAAGCGCCAATATGTATTTCTTATTGTATCACAGTTTTCTACATGACAAGCATTATGATTTGCCATTACAAGGTCGTAACTACATGAATAAATCCACACTTACAGGAGAAACTCCTAGCTCTCTCCCTTCCAGCTCATTTCTCACCACCTTCTGTACAGATGCCTTGTGATCTAGAAACACCAAACCACACTCCTTTCCTAAACTGGATCTCATCTTTCACGCATTCAGAAATTTACTTCTCTATCTTAAGTGTCCTTTCTTTACCAGCCCTCTTCCTTGGTGAGCCTGCAACTTCCCACTTCCTTTTCATTCAGGAACTAAATCCCTTGAGATGGTAGGGGCTGGTATCTTCATTTCACAATGGGGAAACCGAGGCTCAAGAAGGGTTGTGCACTCTAGATCTCTCCCCAGATTACTTGTGCTTTTTAACATCTGCACAACTCCCCACCCTTTGCTTTTGTTCCTGCCACCCCTTCCACTTTTAATCCTCCTCCCTCTCACCCTGATCCATGGAAGTCCTGGCTATCTTTCCAAGCCCAAGGGAAATCCCACCTCCATAAGACTTGCCCAGTGAGCCCATAAAACTTGCCTCTGCACTTCTTTATAAACCCCTCCTGGAAGTTACTTTGTCCCTATAGGGATCTTTACTTAATGGGGATTCAAGTCTTGTTGCAGCAAGTGGAATTCAATTAGTACTAGCCCCAACTCATTCCTCTTTCCTCTATGCTTAGGACTTCAGGGTTGCTCTAATATTTGAACACAAAAAACCTTTCGCATGCTAAGCAAAGCTTCATTTTGACTGACTTCAGGAGAAAGGGAGATATAAACCCATTACTTACAGAAGGTGTTTTATTGTGTTCACCAAAGGATAATGGGGAGAAGAATGCAACAGTATAACAATGAATGAAGGAAATGAAGGAATTCCTGCTTTGGGGGAAGCATACAACAGCTGTGCACCCAGCTGTAGGAGTGTTTTCCAAAAGCAAAACAAAACAAACCAAAAAAAAAAAAAAAAGATTGATTATATGCACTGAAGCCAATAGTGAGTACTTTTAAGAGAGAAAAGGGAATATTCCAACACTGGAGTTATCTGCATACTCTGGATTTGTAAATACTGCTTCAAGACCCTAATTGTGGAAAGGGTTTGCTTGAGGGAATACTTCACTCGAGAATCATTAACTTTTCTGTGTGCTATCTCTTTGAACTTCAAATGAAATAATCTGAGGGCTATTACAAATAAATGAGTATTCACCAGGGCTTCTTCAGGGATTAGAAGAGCACCATTTGTGCTGTGAGAGTTTATCCATCACCCCACCCCCGGGCCCAATATGATGTCATTGACCATTTAAAGAAATGAGTTTGTATATTTTTCAAATTTTGTTCTGGAAGAAAAGCCTGTTGCCATTATGCTGAGTTTATTGCCAAAATTGAACACAACTCTTTTATAAAATATATGCAACAAGGTAAGATAAAGAGCAAAATGAAATTTTCCCTATTTCAAAAGATAGAAGTGAAGAATGATCAGTTTGATTAGGCAAACAGGGCATGCCACTTAGAGTGAAAGAATCCCTGAATCCATGTAAAATACAATGTAAAGAAAGTAATCCTATCTAGCTTCATATTTACAATGGTAGAAGTTACATAATTACTGCATAAATATTCATCAAAATTCTTGTGTGAAACCAGGTACAAATGAAATAAAAGAAAGTTATACATCAGATTTATATTATAAGGAAAATAAATCACTAGATGCTGTTGCTCCTGCAATGCTCATCACTGCACATCCCAGATTTCACAGAGAAGTGGGGTAAATTTGTGGTCATTTACTCTCCAAGACATCAGCATCTCGGCATGGTGATGATTGAATGTCCGCAACTCAGTCAGTCGACCCAGGAGACAGGCAAAGTGTTGAGGATTTTCAGGCTGATAAATCTTGCACAGCTTTTGTAGCACATCAAGCAGTGGTTCCTGAAGCTTCTCTACTGCCTCTCTGTCCTTTATGTATTGTCTGTCTGTTTTGAAGTTTAAAATAAGACGACAAAATAAAAAGTAGAAAAGTATTCATTTGGCATAATAATAGCAATGGTAACTTTCTTGCAACGTAACTTACAAATGTGCACTTCTAAATGTACAAATAACGTGTTCAACTTGATGAATTTTCACACACACACGTATATATTCATGTAATCACAACTAGATCAAGATATAGAACATCTACTGGCCCACCACAGAAGCCTCTCTAAATTCTCCTTTTAATCCATGCCCCCAAAGGTAACCCATATGGTAGACATAAGCATCATTTCTAGTGGGTGTATTCTAAGTAGCAGAATTGCTAGGTCATAGGGGTGTGTGTGTGTGTGTGTGTGTGTGTGTGTGTGTGTGTAGCTTTAGATATATGGTCAAGAAGTTTTTTTAATTATAAGTTTTATGGTAAAAAAATTAAGTAACAACTAGTTTCTGCCTCAATATTATATATAAAAACGGTTTAAGGCTAATATTGAAATATTGGAAACATCCTGAATATCCAAACATGGTAACAATTAAGTAAGTGATTGTACATTAATATGATAAATATGATGGATACATATATTTCAACAAAGTTTGAAATATACTGCAAATATAATTTTTTAATGACATGGGGAAAAAAACTTTAAAGAAAAGATAGTATGCTCTATATTATGTTAAAAAAGATGTAGGGGCACCTGAGTGGCTCAGTCAGCTAAGAGTCCAACTCTTGATTTGGCTCAGGGCATGATCTCACAGTTCATGAGATTGAGCCCCATGTCATTCCATCTCCACTCTGGTAGTGCAGAGCCTGCTTGGGATTTTTCTCTCTCCGTCGCTCCCCTCCTTGTACTCTCTCTCTCTTTTTCTCAATAAATAAATACATACATACATACCTACATACATACATAAACTTAAAAAAAAAGTAAGTTTAAAAAGGATGTAACTTCCTTTACTTCCCTGTTCAAATTTCAATCCCTTAGAAAAGCCTTTCCTGCCCACCAATTATAACATTCTGCTGCCACTTTCCTTCCTTATAGCCTCATCTTTATAGTTGTTTTACCATTACCACCTCCTGAAAGTTATTTTTGTTTCTTCATTTATTGTCTTTCTCATCCTACTAGGATGCAAGCTCTATGTAGCTATATTTGGCCTGTTTCTTTACTGCTGTATCCTCCATTGTCTGGAACCATGTTTAGTACATAGTAGGTGTTCCAAACTCAATTATTCAATGAAAGACTTTAATGTTTACAGGCAAGGCTGGGAAGAACTACACTGAAATATTAACAATGATTCCATTTGAGTAGTGGAATTACAGGCCATTTTATTTTTTCTTTATGCCTCTGTGTCTTCTACACTTTTCTTTAAGAAACTTTATTGCTATTATACTGGAGAGGGAGGAGAATAAACAAATGGCATAAAGATAAAAACATAACAATAAAATTACCTGGAGAGAGGATAACAATTGCTGTAAGCAGAGCATACTCTTCTTGAGTCATTTTCAATTCTGCAACACTTTTATAAAAACTAAACATAGGTGTTATATACTCATCAGAGATACCTATGGGGGAAAGATGAAAAATTACAGAGGCATAGTTAAATTTTTGAATGACTAAAAAGTGAGAAACTACAAACATATATACATGCACATGTTAATATTTATGCACAAATAATGTCTATATTTTATTTGTCCAATCAAAGGCAGTTCACTGCAAAGAAGGTCATTTAACAAAATCCTCAATATATAACTTAATCAGCAATGCCTTTATTTTAGTCACTCCTGTCCAACAATAAATCATAATGTTCTTGAATCGCCCAAAGAATCTCCCAACTTCACCATTTTCTGGATGGGGTTTGGTTAATCTTTTTAATATTAATATCTATTGTGGGGAATAAGCTTAAGAATTCCCTCCGTGAGTTCGAGCCCCGCGTCAGGCTCTGGGCTGATGGCTCCGAGCCTGTTTCCGATTCTGTGTCTCCCTCTCTCTCTGCCCCTCCCCCGTTCATGCTCTGTCTCTCTCTGTCCCAAAAATAAATAAACGTTGAAAAAAAAAATTTAAAAAAGAATTCCCTGAGCTTGCACCAATGGGTCAACAAGGCTTAGGGCAGAAAGTGGCCACAGGGCAAAAGCGGCCCAGTGTAGAACAAAGAGCAGAGCAGAAATCTGCTTCCACAGGACTAAAGCTTCCTAGAATAGGTAAACAGGTAAGGAGGGCAAAAAAGACCTCCGCCACACCCACCCAACATGGTGGAGAAATAGGGGGATCCATACCTCCCACATCTCTCAAACAAAGAAGTTCTGAAGCCAAAGGACTTTGAACCCCAACAGTCTGGGAGGAAAAGAGACTGAATCTACCAAGAAGAAAATGGGACAACTTGAGAAACGATAGGTGGGTGATTGTGAATTGGGGAAGATAAAACAGGCTTCGTAGACATGGAGGGGAGGGAGCCCCTTCTGCGGAGAGACAAAAGGCAGAGAAGGAGCGGCCGGGGAAGTGTAGGACTGTATCTGGACAAGAGAAAAACCTCCGACTGGGACTGAGAGGGATCCTATCTCTAACTGCAGGGTTTTCTTCAGACTGCGGCCGGGTCCCTGTTTGTGCACCTGGGGAAGAGGGGAGCCAGCCCTGGGTTTGGGGGTAGATCAGGGGAGCAGTCTGCACTAGGAGAAAGTGGCCCCCTCTCAGGAGCACTGTGGGAAAAGACAAAGCCTGCCTGCACCCACCACCCCCAGGGCCCAGCGAGGTTGGCGGGGCAGTCCGCAGTAGGAGAAGGCAACCCTCCCTGAAGTGCTGCGGCACAGACAAAGCCAACTGAGACCACATATTGTGCCACACAGAGAGGCGCTTCCCCAGTGTCAGAGCGCATGGAGCTGGTCTTTGATTCCCAGCCAAGTCCAGGGTCAGGGGAGTTGGTGGAGCGAGAAGGACAGCCCCGTCTGGGCCCATGGCACAATGAGGATGACTCAAACGGAGTCCACCAGGTCCATGGAGAAGAGACTAGGGGATCGCCATTCCCCCCCGCTCCACCACCAAGGCAGGGCTTCAGGGATCATCCGAGGGTCCCACAGTGGAGGCAGGACCAGCCTACACCAAACCATGCCCCTCCACACTGGGTAACTGTGTATCTACTGGAGCAAGACAGACCCTGTTTAACCAGATGGATGGCTCCTCTAGACCAGTGCTGCAGCATTGCCTGGCTTAATTCCAGGTCAATTCTGGATATACAGATATATTCTCCCCACCATTTTTCCTCCTTATCTCTTCCCTCCTCTAGGCTGGTTACCCTGGTTATTGGTTTGTCTAAACAGACAAATGAAATCAAAGGCATCACAATTGGCAAAGATGAAGTCAAACTTTCACTTTTCACAGACAACGTGATACTCTACATGGAAAACCTGACAGACTCCACCAAAAGTCTGCTAGAACTGATACATGAATTCAGCAAAGTGGCAGGGTACAAAATTAATGTATAGTAATCGGTTGCATTTTTATACACCAATAATGAAGCAACAGAAAGAGAAATAAAGAAACTGATCCCATTCACAATTGCACCAAGAAGCATAAAATACCTAGGAATAAAACCTAACCAAACATGTAAAAGATCTGTATGCTGAAAACTATAGAAAGCTTATGAAGGAAATTGAAGAAGATACAAAGAAATGGAAAAACATTCCATGCTCATGGATTGGAAGAATAAATATTGTTAAAATGTCAATACTACCCAAAGCTATCTACACATTCAATGCAATCCCAATCAAAATTGCACCAGCATTCTTCTCGAGGCTAGAACAAGCAATCCTAAAATTTATATGGAACCACAAAAGACCCCAAATAGCCAAAGTAATCTTGAAGAACAAAACCAGAATGGGAGGCATCACAATCCCAGACTTTAGCCTCTACTACAAAAGCTGTAATCATCAAGAGAGCATGGTATTGGCACAAAAACAGACACATAGACCAATGGAATAGAACAGAGACCCCAGAATTGGACTCACAAATGTATGGTCAACTAATCTTTGACAAAGCAGGAAAGAACATCCAATGGAAAAAAGACAGTCTCTTTAACAAATGGTGCTGGGAGAACTGGACAGCAACATGCAGAAGAATGAAACTAGACCACTTTCTTACACCATTCACAAAAATAAACTCAAAATGGATGAAGGACCTGAGTGTGGGACAGGACACCATCAAAACCCTAGAGGAAAAAGCAGGAAAAAACCTCTTTGACCTCAGTCGCAGCAATTTCTTACTCGACACATCTCCAAAGGCAAGGGAATTAAAAGCAAAAAAGAACTGTTGGGACCTCATGAAGATAAAAAGCTCTGCACTGCAGAGGAAACAATCAACAAAACTAAAAGGCAACTGACAGAATGGGAAAAGATATTTGCAAATGACACATCAGATAAAGGGCTAGTATCCAAAATCTATAAAGAACTCACCAAACTCCACACCCGAAAAACAAATAATCCAGTGAAGAAATGGGCAGAAGACATGAATAGACACTTTTCTAAAGGAGACATCCAGATGGCCAACAGACACATGAAAAGATGCTCAACGTCACTCATCATCAGGGAAATACAAATCAAAACCACACTGAGACACCACCTCATGCCAGTCAGAGTGGCTAAAATGAACAAATCAGGAGACTATAGATGCTGGAGAGGATGTGGAGAAACGGGAACCCTCTTGCACTGTTGGTAGGCATGCAAACTGGTGCAGCCACTCTGGAAAATAGGGTGGAGATTCCTCAAAAAATTAAAAATAGATCTACCCTATGACCCAGCAATAGCACTGCTAGGAATTTACCCCAGGGATACAGGAGTACTGATGCATAGGGGCACTTGTACCCCCAATGTTTATAGCAGCACTTTCAACAATAGCCAAATTATGGAAGGAGCCTAAATGTCCATCAACTGATGAATGGATAAAGAAGTTGTGGTTTATATATACAATGGAATACTATTTGGCAATGAGAAAGAATGAAATCTGGCCATTTGTAGCAACCTGGATGGAACTGGAGGGTATTGGGCTAAGTGAAATAAGTCATACAGAGAAAGACAGATACCATATGTTTTCACTCTTATGTGGATCCTGAGAAACTTAACAGAAGACCATGGGGGAGGGGAAGGGGAAAAAAAAAAGTTACAGAGAGGGAGGGAGACAAACCATAAGAGACTCTTACTGAGACCAAACTGAGGGTTGATGGGGGGGTGGGGGAGAAGGGAAAGTGGGTTATGGGCATTTAGGAGGGCACCTGTAGGGATGAGCACTGGGTGTTGTATGGAAACCAATTTGACAATAAATTATATTTAATTAAAAAAAAAGACCTCCACAGCAAGGCAAAATTACCTGGAGCTAATCAGTAAAAACAAAAATACATACATACATACATACATACATACATACATACATACACACACACACACACATACATACATACATAAATGCCTTATTAACCCTGAGATAGCGTTCTCCATCTGTCTTATCCCCTAGACAAGTTAAGGTAAACAGACATGGCACCTGGCACCTGCAGTAAACAGCCGTCTGCTCGGTGCTGCAATTTTGTTTTGTATTGACTGAAATCCCTAATACCACATATCTTTGAAAACCCCTTTCTCTCACACACTTGAGTTAATGATCACTGTTTTATTATCTCTTTTTGCACATCCATCACGTTTGTAAGCCTTCTGATCCTAATAAATATGGAGCAAGGACCCTTACTCGGGGCTCTTGTCTCCTCCCGAACATTAGCCTCTCTTGTATTCAATTCTGTGCCTGCTGTCTTGCTGGACAAAAGAGAACTCCAGAGTCAAAGTCTGTGACAATCTGTAATTAAGGTATAGGTAGCATCTTAAATAATCAACAAAAAAAATTATTGTTCTTAAGCCCAGAAGTATAAACATCTTGACTTAATACATTGGCTAGGATTCTTCTCAGTTCCAATGCTTACTAGGGCATTGGTACTTGTCTGTTCTCTTCAAACTTACATGTCTAAAACCAAAGATACCATGTACAGAACTAAACTCCTCATCTTCCTCCAAATCCACCTCTTTCCTGATATTCCCATTCTCAGTGACATATCTTTACTCATACACTTTCCCCTGCCTGACAACTGAGATTTGGCCCTCTCTCTAACCCAGTTAGGTGCCAAGTCCTATGATTCAGCATGATAACTCTCCCTAGGTGTTCTTTCTCCTCTCCACAACTCCTAGAATTGACTTAGTTTCTGTCCTTATTTCTTTTCATCTGGACTGCCTCCTCAGTCTTCAGTTTGGTCCCAGAATCACAAAATTCAAATCACACCCTGTCTCCTCAATTTTTACAAATCTTCAAAAACTCTCAGTGGCTTTTGGCATAAATGTTCTTCTTTTTTACATAGGAAGCTCCAAGACCTGTACCCACCCACTACTCACCTACCTGATAATAGTAGTAATAGTAGGATCCATATTTGTTGAGTACTCATTATGTATTATACACTGTTCCAAGCACTTCTTATGCTATAATTCATTTAATCTTCCTAATACCTCATGAGGTAGGTGCTGTGAGGTTATCTCATTTG